TTCTACGATTTTGCATCTTGGCCTTCCCTCTTCCCTATGGGTGTTCAAAAAAACCGTTGGACCGCTCAAACCGGCCGAACCAAGTCAAACCGGACCGTTTTGGCGGTTTGAGCCGTCTGGCGGTCCGGTCTGATTTGAAAAATAGCAAAACCGGACGGTTCGATCTACGGTCTAGAACCTTTTTTGGGCGGTTTGGACCAAACCGACCGCCAAATACATACATACATACATACATATTTATTTATTTATTTATTTATCGGTTTTAATATTAACAAGCCCAACTTTTTTAACTTATGGGCTATGACCCAAAAATATCCCTGAGGTTAACCTCTAACATAATCAAAATCGGCGTCTAAAACCATTAAACATATCGACACATTTGATATTGACGATCTCCAAATTTTGAAATCTCTCAAGAACTCTATCAATCTATCGATCTTTCTAAACCATAGTTTGTTTCAGCACACATCATCAAGACATCAACAAAGTGATTCAACCAACTTATACTTGACTTCTATTTTGTTTGGTTAAGAACTCAAGACTCAAGAATTGATCTATTGAAGGTTGTGAAGTCATGGATTTGTTACTCAATACTCACAGTGGAGTTGTGACTTTGTTAATTTGTTTGTTTTCTAACATGTATTATATATTTATTTGTTTATACTTTGAATTGCTTTGACTTTTACTCAAGAACTGCTTAATTATTACATTTATTTGTTTAGATATTTTGTTTTGTTAAAATGAATATTTAATCTAAAATTTTAAATTACATATGTTTTTTAAGTTTAATATTTAAAGTCCATTAAAGGCCAAAACTGTCCAAACCGGTTTAGACCAGTCCCTTTTTCGTGGTCTGATTTAACTGGTCTGGGCACTTGATGTCAAACCGTTCGGTTTGAAAATTTTATAAACCGCCGTTATAGTTTGGTTTGTGGTCAAAGGGGTTAAACCGACCAAACCGGACCGCAAACAACCCTACTCTTCCCTCACGCCGGTCTCCTTGAAGGTCTCCATGAATAGCCACTCTCCACAAATCCAATCCCTTACAGATTTGATTTCTCTTCAAGTACTCTTGGGTTTTTCTATTCAATCTCTCTCTCTCACTCAAAACCCTAATCCAATCTTGTTTAAAAGCTGAGAAGCGACTGACAGATGACAACCTCCATACAACTCTTCAATGGATGTTGGGCCAACTGTACCCATGGAAGCTAGGTTTTTATCTTTCTCTTGAATGCCATTTAAGATCAATCCAACATTACCTTCAATTCCTCCTGCTTTATAAATCACCATCCCCTTTGTCTCTGATTGATGATTCTTCTCTACATACATACAGCTGTATCTATTCTATAAGCTTTGTTCAAATTATCTTCGTTTTGAGCGAAATAGAGCGATTGGTCAACAAATGAAAGCAAATACTGAAATACCCGCTTAGATCTCTAACTTCTGTTTTCTGCTAATTTACTACTTGTTGGTGTTCATGTTGTGCGTATTTTTGGAGTTGAATTGAATAAGTCGATTTTGGAATTTTGGCTTTCTAGTAGGGTAATAATTCCACAACTCGTGATTGGGTCTTTTTATTGCTAATTAATCAGTGCACCAAAAGTGATTTAAGAATCGGGTTGAGTGGTTTGTTGTGGATGATCAAAGAGGAATCATTGAAAAAAACCAACCTGTTGTTTCAAGCAATAATGATCAAAAAGGCAGTGAGAACTCTAGTACTTCAACAATGGTGGTTGATGAGGTTGTTATACAGAAAAATGTGATCACGGTGAGATCAAATTCAAGCAAACAAACACACGAGTCCATTTCCTATGATGAAAACAAGAGAGCAGACCACAAGGGTGGTGGCTGATTAGTTTGAGCTTGGCTTCAAAGGTCAAAAGTGTCGGGAGGTCCCAGGTTCAAATCCAAGGATGAACAAAAATCCCCTTGTGGCCACGGAGGTTCAAATACGGTAACTCCAGGCTACCTGTGTGATGGCTTGCATAATGGGTTGAATATCCAAGTTAATAAAAAAATAAAAAAAAAAGCAAAGGGGGTATTAGATGGTAATTTAGTGGGAAAGAGGAGTTGAATGATAAGAGGGTTTCATCATGTGCAATTGATGTGAAATTGGATGATGATGGAAATGATAGTGATGATGATAGAGAGATAGTTATGCCATTTGAGTTCTGATAAATCACCTAAAAGAGGGGTTAAAAGCGTTGGATGGCAAGATGAAGGAATCGAGTTTGGTTTCAGCTTGGATGCGGTTGTCGTTGGGTATCGGACCATTTGAACTAGAAAGGTTTCAGGGAGTGTTTATGCATTGCTATTGGTAATATATATATTTGTAAAGTAATTCTTTTATTCAGATATTATAAACAACTATATTTCATTCAAAACTAAATCATGCATTCGGTTAAAATGGTAATATGTTGTTATTGAGACTTTTCATTTAGAATGGTTTCCAAACAACCATATTTCATGTTGCACCATATCATACATCCTCTTAATTATTCTGATAAATGAACCATTTTGCATCAAATTATTCAGAAACTGTTAAACAACCCTTTAGTACATAATGAAAATGATTATTTGGTATATATTATGAATTGACAACAAATTGTTATTTTGTAATGTTGAGTTATTTTGTTGGATAAATCAAATTGGATTTTTGGAAAATATTGTTTCTAGAAATAGAAATCTAGACCAATATACTTTTTTTTATTATGTAATTCATATCATATTGGAAGTTTTAAAACAATTGTTAATATAATTTGAATAATATTAACTGAACGTTAATAAATAATAATCCAACCATAGTTAATATCTTAAACCCGTCCAATGTATATTTTTAATTCAAATGGTTTGGATTTTAGAACACGGAGAATTGAAGTGAGAAGCGTAAGAAGATATTTCCACCTTTGAATGTATGCATCAGATCAATTCACGTATCAAGCTGTGATTTGTGGGTTTGAGATTAAAGGTGATCAAGGGTTCAGATCCCTTTTTTCGCTTCTCACCTTAACTTTTCTTTTCACCCGATCTTTCGTCTTTAGAGCACCCTATCAATTTGGTTATGCTATGGTTTACTGGGTTGGGCTTACAAGTCCAGACTAATGGGCCCAAATTAAGTGGACATGGTATGTCGAAGTTAGCCCATCAGAATAATATAATTTCCTATATTTTCTTCTATTTTTTCTTAATTATTCGAATTCTCATTTTAATTGTCACAATTTATTTATCATCATATAAACATGAAGACTTATTATCTCATCTTTATTTTATTTATTTCTTTAAAATAGAAGCGAACAAAATAAAATTAAAAATTTTAATTGATATTTTTATATAAAATCTATATTGATATGCTTTAATGTAGACGTTCTCGTAAAGTTCATGATGTCTTCGATCTAGAAACTAAATGGCAGCGGGACAAAAAAATGTGGTCAGTGCTGGAAGCTCATGACTCAAGATTCAAAACCAAAATCCTTGTGTCAGTGGTTCAAATCCACTGGGGTTTTGAATAAAACGACTTTTTTATTTTGCATTTTCTTCATATTGAAAAAGTATGAAAAAAGGAAGGTGTGAGTTTTTTTTTATCATCCGATACTTCAACTAGAGGAGCGACCTGTTGGTTCACCAAACCCCAACTCAGCTTGGTTCGTGTAAGCTCAATGCTTAGGGCAGAATTATGGCTTTTCCGGTTTTCAATTCCCCTCCGACGAGGTTTGACCTTCGCGTGGTGGGATTCCTACCATCCGGGGCGAAAGGATGAGTCCAGCTTCACAACCCTTCGCGGGTTGGTAAGAAGTCGGTCCAATTAGACCTAAACTACGTAATTGGTTAACTTTCATGATCAGCTAAACTGCCAAATAAAGACCGAGCCTTAGTTTTCTCCTCCTAGTTTTCCGAGTTACTGAGGATTTTTCTTCTTGTTATCTTTAGAGTCCCATGGTCATGGCTTTAATAGAGGTGCATACAAGCTAAATCAGACATCCATAGTTATAAAAAAAACATTGATCAACAGTTAGCTTGTCAAACTCGATGTAGTCACAGTAACGCTTAGCCAAGGGTGATAGCCACACACCATACTCTATGGGGGCATTTGGTTTGATGGAACGGTTTTGCAAGATTTAGGTTTAGAGGAAGGATTTGGAATTGAAGGAGGATTTGAAATATTTGATTTGTAAGAATTAGAATGAACTTGAATTTCATTATTCATGAATAAGTATAAACACATGTTATAAACAATTATAAAAAATTATCGAGTACCATTTTTATTAATTGATTATTATAAAATAAATGTTTTAAACATATCATATATAAATCTTACAAAATCCCATGAGCTCCAACCGCTTCCATGGGATTTCAAAATCCGTTTGTGGGATTTCAATGAATAAAAGTTCAAATCCATGAAATCTTTCAAACCAAACATGGAATTGAATTGGAATTCGATTCCAAATCCATTCCGATCCTGGGAACTAATACTACATATCCTATCGATTGGGTAAAAGTGGCATGCTTCCTACCTCGTGTTAAGACACAAAATGTCATAAAACTGTTATGGCTCATCAAATAGAACTATCCCATGTAAGCTAAGCTATGTCAAGTAGTGAAATAAAATTTGATGTGTTGGCATAGAAAAACACAAAAATATAGATAAGTTTAGCCAACAGTTGAAGTTTATATTCTCTTAAAGGAATAGGAATCAGGGGGAAAACAGGTGAAGCACTTGCGACAGATGCCAAAAAAGACGAATGAAACAAGTAAAAACAGCCAATTGACTTGAAAAACAAACCATCAAATACTTAGGAGCCTCTAACCAAATGCTTACCGAGTAAGCGTCACTTACCTTACCTAGCGAGCATAGGAGTAAGCGCAAGAGACACTTACAAACAAGCCAATTTGATGGCCGAGAATGTTATCCGATACGATCATTGAGAAGAATTTATAGAGAACTCTTCAGTAAATGTAACAGACACTATAATGCTAATAAAAACAACAAAGCAGATAGATATATAGATAGATCCCAGTCTTTAACAAGGTGAAAAATAATGTGCGATATGTCCAAGAAAGAGTGCAGTTTATTTGAACATAATAAACATGCTAGACTCACTTGATAACAAGCATATTCAAGTATCATCATATCATGGTTTTGATTAGGAAATAAATTCAAATTAGAGTCTCATTATTATTATTTCTTCATCTAAACACAAACACAAGGTACACAGTAGTAGTAGTTGTTGTATCAAACCAATAACATTTGCTTACTGCGTCCGCATCCTGCTGTTCTCTGCAGCCCTCACTTGCATGAAATACGGATGACCCTATTACCACCAAAAACATCCCCAATTAATTCAATTCTATCATCGCATCGCAATTACAACATTTAAACAAAAACTAATCTATTTCGGGTATAAAAGAAGTATCAGATTGAAGGGCCAAACCACCAAAAATATAAAGTTTCTTAAAACGGGTTTTGGGAATGCTAATGTCTGACCTTTCTTCTGTTCAACCAGTTTACCAGAATTGGTTATAGGTTGGGCAGAACAGGATAGGGTTTTTAAACTTTAATATATACATATATATAGAGGGAGGATCAAACGAGAATGCTAACTATTTATGAGAACACGAAAGTGGCCAAATCACGTGCAAATCACATGTGAATTCACATTAACGGTTAAAAACATGTGTGGGTGACCCTATGGCCACGTCTTCAGGTCGCGGGGCAAGGTCGGTCGAATCACGTGATTTTGTATGTGATATTAGTGTAAAATCACATGTGATTCAACTGTTTTTTCTCTTAAATAGGTACCATTCTCATTTGAACCTGACTCTATATGTGTGTGTGTGTGTATATATATTGGCAATCATAGGAACTAGCCAAAGTAGATGCATATATATTACCATTGCTTCTTTTGCTGTGAGCCTATCTTGATGGTCATAGCGAAGAAGTTTATCCAGAAAGTCAATGGCCTGATCAAGTGACAAAAAAGAGTTTTAGCAACAACTCCAGCAATTCAACCTTTTACATGATCTCAATTTCACATTCAATTACCTCTGGAGATACTAAATGCTGATTATCTGCATTCATAAATTTGGACCATGGTTTCCTGCTATGCCTGCACATGGGAAAAAACATCACAATATGATTTATTGCAGAGAAACAATAACTTATATCCCCTCTGTCCCTAAACACTAAGGGGACGTTTGGTTTGATGGATAGGTTTTGATGGATTTGGATGTCGTGAAAGGATTTGAAATCTTTGGTGTGTTTGTTTTGTAGGATTTGGATGGAATTGAATTCCATTATTTATATAAAAATTTATAAATAATTATAAAAATAATTAAATTACCTTCTTATTAATTATTTATCACAAAACAAATGTTCTAAACCATTATTACATAGAAATCCTACGAAATCACCGTGAAATACCAACCCTATGGGATTTCAAAATCCTATGTTTGTGGGATTTCAAATCCATGAAATCCTTCAAACCAAACATGGGATAGGAATGGAATTCAATTCCAAATCCAATCCAACTCAATCCAATCCCCCAAACCAAACTGGACATAAGAATTTCCTTTTCAGATGATTCAAATACATGCAACATTTTTCCTTTTTGGCAAAGCTTCAATCTAAGATTATCTCTTCACACATCGGTGACCATACAAATTCTAGCATCAAAGATTTTGGTCTAAAGATTACTTTATTTTGTATTATCAAAGGTATTTTAGCTATCTGACTAATAGCTGAACACTTCTTTAGGCCATATGTACATTCCACCGCTTCATTTGTTTTGGGATGGAGGGAGTATTAGATATCAATTACAAATGGGAATTATACAATTTATCAACGATTTCAGTTTTGACCATAATTCATTTGAATACAAGCTTTACCTTCCAACAAGAGCTTCAAGCTGAGGTTCAAGCTCTAGCTGATATTTGTTCAAATATGCATTTAATTCATCAGTCCCAAGCACCTGAAGTCACAACTTTAGATAATCAAACAAACTTGGCATGAAAAGAAATCAAGGAGAAGCAAAACCTTAATAGAAGCAAGGGAGTTCGAAAAAAGGATTGGTGAAGAAAAGGGATACCAATTGCAATATATGATTACCATAGTAACTTCATATCCCAAAGATTCAGCAAAGAAATTTGATGCAAGAAAGGCACAAACAAGCAACATGTTCAAAATTTCAGCACCATGAACAATGGTGGATTAGTTGAGAACCATAGCCTTAGAAAAGTGAAACACAAAGATGTTGCTCTGCAAATTGGAATCTCCTAATAGAGGTTGACACTACCCATACAAGGAATGCACTCCAAAAGATATCTATAGTATCCAGCTCAATGCCTTTTATGCCATTTCACAGTTCTGTTTAATATATGGTGCAATTCTAGCACAAAATTGGTGATCTGTTAAGGTTAAAGAAATGAATATGTACATGTTAACAAAAAAAAGTTGCAAGCCAACTAGAACTATAATGAACCTGAGTTTCTACAAAGGAAAATTCCACTTAAGAGGGCAGTGCACCATCTACTCTATTATTAAAAAGGGAACTTGGACCTCAAAGGTAAGCAGGACATTTTTTAAATTTTGATAAGCCCCAGCCCATCTAACTCACAAGCTACGGAACACAAAGTAACCAACAAAAAGAGAGTTACGATAAATTTTTTTATCTTTTCTTCTTATCTGGTGCAGGTTGGGACACTGGGGACCCGAGTTAATATCTTAACTACCATCATTTATTTCACTGAAGCCAAGAAAATGCATTACCCTGGCAATTTTGACAAGCTGATCCTGGTTGTCATGGCCATAAAAGAAAGGTTCCTTGCGAAATATCTGCATCAAGCATTAGCACAATAGAAGAGGTCATATTGATGGCTGAATATCGGCATGTCAGATAAAGAAAAAGCACAAGCCACAGCAATCAAGTCAGCAATATCATAAATACATACACTAAAAATATTGGGTGTTGAAACACTCACCATTCCAGCAAACATGCAACCAAGACTCCACATGTCCAAAGAATAATCATAGTCTTGCAGATCAACTAGAAGTTCAGGCCCTTTAAAGTATCTATGTAATGGGAAAGAAACATCATACGTCCAGAATATAGACAGGTTAAACATGAACTGTAAGAATAAGAGATCAATTTGGGAAATACTTACCGAAAAAATCAAAAACATTGGAACATCTAGTTATGAGTAAAAAGGGGGATGGTGTTGCACCATTCCATAAAGTACAGTTGTACAGATTAATCTGAAGAATCCTGTTCGGTGCAACTATGGCCTTACTTATGATTTGGTCTTTAGATGGGTGATTTTTTATTACGTATATGTGTAAGAGAATATTTTACTGGATAAGAAAAGAAACATATCAAATTTCTGATTGCTGGAACAACATTAATACCTTGAAGCTACACGAACATTATACTCTTTCCCAGGATGGTAAAATTCTGCAAGTCCCCAATCTATCAATCGGAGTTTTCTCAACTCATGGTCTATCATGACATTATGAGGCTTGACATCCCTGTGCATGATTCCTTGAGAGTGACAATAATCCAATGCCTGCAAGCATAGAAGACTAGTACTAACTTTAGGATTTCTCCAAATTCTGGAGATATATCAATACATGTGGAAATTTGGTTCTTGTATACAAATTAGAAACATAGCTGAAAGAATACAAAATCTCAACCCTGAAACTTCAAAGCCCAGTTCAAATTGGCTCCCTATAGAAGAGTTGACGTCACAATCTCCAAAAAATAAAGCAATGTAAATAAAACTTTTTGCAGCTTTTGTTGTAGCTGGAACTATGCAGTATGGTTCAGCGACTACTCCCATGGCCCAATCTAAAGCAATTTTACCCTTGATCAAATACATGCAAAATGACTATTTAACCAATCTTCATAGAAAGCAAGATTTGATTTAGGAACATAAACTTTATGTTGCATGTTGAAATAAGACTTCTTATGGCCAACAAAATTTTGTAATACAGAATTTTCTTTTAGAACAAAGTGGATATTGAAAGACCACAAAGATAATTTTTTGCTTTACCATAACATAGACGCATACATCTGATTAATTAAATAAAAGCAAAATAACAGCCATTGGATGCTATGTATGTTCATCTCTTCGTAGACTACATAAAACTAATGCCAAAAGATAAAATACCCCAGCAGAAAAACCAACAGACAAAATAATAAATCAACTAAAGATGACAAATACTGATGAGGTTCAATTACTGGTTTGGCGCATTGTTAATTTCTTAAATCAGTACTGCCTATGCAATTGTAATGTTGTGTGATTTTCACTTGCATACGCAGTTCAACACATATAAATTAAAAGGGGACCACATAATACCTAATATGATTTATGAAGTTAATTCAGCACACCCAATCTGCAATAAACACCACAAGGACGGATAAAATGAAAAAGTTAGGGCTGCACCAGAAATTGAGGAGAAAGCAACAGCCCCTTAGATGATTTGCTTTTCTTATCTGTATTGCAGACATTTGGGCACAGCTATGACAGGATGAAACTTGTACCAAGCAGAGGATAAGAGAGGTACAGTAGGTCAAGAGGAACATGTGGAACATAAAAAAAGCCATTTGGAAAACTATAATATGTCAAATAAGAGATTTGCATAAGATAAAAGATGGACACTAGATGTTATTTATGTTCCATTCCAAGACCTAGTAGGAATTCGCCTCATTTTAACAAGCTTGATCATTGCTGTATATCTTGCTCTAAGAGCTACTTTAGTGTCCTCTATATAAATGTATGCAAAGTTATATCCATTGTTGGATGAAAATATCATTGAACTATGGGCTTGTTTAATAGATTCAAAATGATTAGCAAATTACCATTCTACCCTTTTAATTGACAATTTGCTAAATTTACCTATTTATAAGTTAATAACAGTATTGGTTCTTATTTATAAGTTCGTTGTCTAATTAAACATTATAATTTAAATCAAAAAATATAAACCCATGTTCAAATGTAACCCTAATCATACAAGATTAGCAAGAACGAGCAGCAGTGACAGAGAATGGCACGAGTGGTGGCAACAGTGGGCAGCAAAGTGCAAAGAGAAGAGGTATGAGGATAATCTTGGGAAACTTTAACCAATGAATGGTATTGTGAACCCCCTAAGAAATGAGCAATTAAGGGGCTTCCTGTTCGAATAAGGGGACAATTTGCAATTACCAAACAAACTCCTCCATCTGACAGAATCAGAGGAGACATCTGATCATGCCATAAAGTGGCTATGAAACAGCCCTACATGTTTTTGCTCTTTTGGTGGTATTTTTGATGTTCAAGCAAGTTCCTTTAAATTAAAAACCTAAATATCTACTTCCAATAAGGTTAAGCTCCCAAATAACCATAGGTAAATATATATCACCAGAAAATGCTAAAACATGCATAATGTACTCCAAAATTCAAAGAAACTATTTACCTTGAGAAGCTCATATATGTAATAACGTATATCATAGTCTGTCAACGTTGGATACAAAACCTTGAAGTCTGTACTGTTAACATACTCAAATATCAAGCTTGGAGTTTTTGAGTGCTGATCCCTGACTATATCCAGGAGTTTTATGACATTTGGACCTCCACAGAGATTCTGAAGAATTTTTATCTCCCTTTTTATCTACATAAAAACCATTCAAAGAAAATTGAATATATTAACAAACAGTAATCTACTGATTTTCCGAAAACACAGTGACTTCTAAACGTTAGAGAATATTTCTCTCTATGTACTGGATCTTTGTATGTGTGTTTATGTAGCACGTAAGCTTGCGCCCTGCCACTGAGAAAGATCTTTTTTCCCTTCCTTCTTGCTTCTGGACTTATCATCTTCCATATGAACAACTAAGAGGTTTACACATGACAGGATAGTTTATGTGGCGGCAAAACGTTCATAGCAACGTTGCTTAAAAAGTTTAAAGATGTATCGACCTTCTTTGCCACAAGCTTTAAGTAAATTTAACAGTCCAGTAGCCATCATAAATTTCATCCTGTAGTGTTACTCATACGAATAAGCAAAAAATCTTACTTTCTTTTTCTTCACAGGCTTCAGAATCTTAATTACACACTTCTCATTGCTGTTCACATTTATCCCTTCAAAAACTTCACTATATTTTCCCCTTCCAACTTTCCGAACAACCTCATAGTCATCCTGATCACTGAAAAGCCACATAAAACTAAGCTACATGGCATACAAAAACAAAATGCAATATGACACAGTGAAACTGTAAAGTAACAAGAAGTTCAGAACCCTTAAAAAATTATCAATAATACCAAATGGAAGTATCTTTCCTCTAATATTTAATTTAGAGATGATGATGACGCTTAAATGATTCTTTCTGCAGCTTGTGGGTACAAATGAATGCCCATGCTGGCCGTGTTTCAGCATGAAAAAATGAGTTTTCTACATGTCCATGTTTCAAACAATTGTTTTTATCAGTGAAAACAGAAGAAACTGCATTGAAGCTTTTATGGATAAAAAAAAATTATTTCGTCACATTTTTTAAATATATAATATTTATGTGTGGCAAATACTCACACACACTCCTCACCTTTGGTGAGGCTAGAGCCCTTGACCTCCAGAGAGGTTAGGCTTTACCAGTAGCCTGGATATCGCTGGACCAATGACCCTTTGCTATTTTTATCATAGTTATTATAGCTCAAACTCCAAATCCGCAGTTTTTCATATGTGGATTCTGAAAAAGCTCCCTGAGAACCACAAAGAATCATCATGGCTGCTTGATGTAGGCCACATGAAATGTTACACAATTATTTCATTAGTTACACAAAGTTCAGCCACACTTTAAGACCACAATGGATCATTTGGATAAATGGTCCAAGAGGAATGAGGAACTGTAATCCTTCTCTCCAGGATGATGAAGAGTATAAGATGAAAAACATATCTTTAGGATATCATTCCTGATTGGAAGAGACAACAGGTTATTGTGAAAGAAGAGGACAGGATGAGCTGAGGCCCATGGAGCTGCAATCCCCTACCATTGGGGAAGACATGATCCATGTAAGCATCTTTGGAATTGTATGAGATTCATCAACATATAACGCATTGGCTGCATGCCTTTACAAGAAGAGCTAGCTACTGCTACAGCTCATTACATGGTGATGGCACTAATTCTCTGATGACCTGAATGCCAAATGTTCTGTGGTAGGTAAGAAGTTAGATTAGATTGGCATACAATTTCAAGCGCTTAGGTGATAATAACTCGACAGTGCAGGAGGCAATATTTCCCTATCTGTTAACGAAATAGACCACAATGTGTGTTGAAGCATGCCAAGCCTATGCCAGTGGCAGTGATCAACCGTAACAAATTAACCTCTTTACCATAAATGTGCCCAAACATGCAAGAAATCTCAAAATTTAAGATTAGAGGGAATTGAGGAAGAAGCACATAGACACATACTGGTCATGATGAACCCCTTCTGATATAACAGATTGATAATAGAAACACCTAAAACTTCCAAGATACTAGCACCATTGTGATATCGGTTATGTTTCGGGGTCCACTAGGCCTATGTTAGTGCACTGACCAACGGTAACAAACTTTATGCAATCTTATGTGAACTAACTTCATGTGGAGGATGCATAAAGAAAAATCACTATTAAAACAAGATCTCATTCCAGGTTGCATGTTAAGAGTCCAATGGATGTAATGATTTAGACCCATCACCTTTTGGCTTCTCGAAGTTAACTATCTAATTATAGAAGTAGAAAACATTGAGGTATAATTAAAAGAGGAGCAGGGTCGACACTTGGCCAGTCCTTGAGCAATCAGAAATAGAAATCATTTTTCAAACTCTACAAATGTACTACTTTGGAACATAACTATTCTTCCATCGTGTTTCTGAGAGCAATATACCAAAAATGGTACCTAAAGAATTAGGAAGCACGTGTATCCCAAATACGGATCCTAAATTAACAGATATATCACATAATTAATTAATCTAATTGAAAAACCTAAATTCTCATTAACCCAGGTAACTTTGGACACCATATAGACTTCAACAAAATGCAATCCTATACTCTGCAGAGAAACTTAGAAGTTTGTTGCTGTGTGCTTAGGGCAACATCCCCATCCTTTTGGTTAAAAAATTTACATATGGAGAATTGGAGATGAGTACAGGAATTTCTAACCCTATTATTGATGAACTCTCAGATGACTCACATGGTTCAGAGTTCCTCTCCAAATTAAAACCCTACCTGTATTCAACATCAAGCGGGAATGGCCATCACAAGGAACTCCAAAAACTAGATTCTAAGGATGTTTTGGGTGCTTGAGTTCATTGTGATGTATTTTGGTATCAGATGTTCTCCAACACCATTCAGAATTTTTGATGTGCCAGATTTTCTCATTATTTAAGCAAAACCATGATCGCTATTGATGATATTCTTGTGTATCCCCTGAGGCCCTGACACTATCCATTCACCTGATTTACTGATGTTATGTTCTTAACAAGTATATATGTCCTCAATTGGTATGTAAGACCAAATGGTCCTCAAAAACCACATTCTTTTACATGCAACATCATTTTCCACACTCTGGCCTTAATCTAAGACAGCAAGGAATTTCAACGTGGTGCAGATATTACAGTTTTTCTTTTGGGCGTTTTCTACCCAGCTACAAATGATTGTAAACATAACAAAATGGTCCCAATCTTCTCCCTATTATCCAAAGTCTAGATCTAAAGCTCTTTATTAAGTAACATTACAGCTCCTGATTATCAATCCTCCAGCCCTGTTCATGAAGAGGATGGAAGTATACCACGTTCACCTTTCACATATCGATTCCCTATCCATCCTCAACATATAACATGTAAACTTGTATAGAAAAAGGTAGCGAATGTTAGTTATAAGAAATTATTCGATGGGTGATGTTGAGACAATGCAAAAACGAAATTTTACAAATCTCAATCCAAGTCACAATTTCAGAATCAAATTAACTAGGTCACTACATATATAATAAAAAATACCATGCCTAATTCAAATCATAAATCACAAGTTATCAAACTAAAAATCTAGGGTTTAGTTAGATTACCCCCACTGAACAGTAAGCGCTTCGTAATCCCAGTATTCCCTGGGGCGAACAACGTTGACATCCGCGTAGACTCGAGATTTAGACATGTTGCTTATAGGTCTCGAGCCGTTGATGAGGCCGTGATCAACGATCTGTTGGACGGAGAAGTCGTGGAGCGGATTGGGGAAAAAGGAAGGACAGGGTTGATGGAAGCGGGCAGCAGCGGCGGCGGCGACCACCGGAGAGGAAAAGAGGAGAAAGGGTATGGAGAAGCCGAAAAGGAAGGAGTGAGTTAAGAAGAAAAGAAGGCGTGGTGAGTCATTGTACATGTGCTGCCACCGCCAAATCGCACCACTCAATCCAGTGCGCTAACAAGAAGCCCATTTCATCATCAACGATAACAAGTGCTCTGTGAACCGGTGACCACACAAGCCAGTTTTTAGGTTTTCTATACATTTTTTAGGAAATCCAACATTTGAAAACCCGATCCAACCCGATCCGAACCGATGAATGAAAATGATACCAACCCGATAGGTTAAATTCATTAAACGATTTTGTTATTAGGAAAAGAAACGATAACTCTTTCTTTTTAAAACGTAACTTTCAATAAAACCTTATTATAAATTATCGATGGAGTTGTCTGACCTAACGAAATGGTTCATTGGGCCAATTAGACCATGGCTTATTGGTTTTTGTTAGGTTTTTTTTATTTAATTTGAATTAATCGTTGGTTACTTTTTTATAGTTTTTTTTCTTTTTTCTGATCGATCTATCACAAGTAATCAAGTTACCATGCTTACCATGTCATTGGCCAATAATGATTTGTTATATGATTGATTTAGTGATTTGTCTACTCGATAATAGTTTAGAGTCGACGAAGGGTTTGGTTAAATTGAACACTGAATAAATCAATTAAATCTTCATATTTTATTTATATCAGATCGATGTCAATCCTGGAATTTTGCTTAAAACCAACGACCATATTATGTTTTTCCCTTAATCTTTGTCCCATTAAAATCAAGACCAGAAATTGATGCCATAATGGTTAAAAAAAACCATACTTTTTGTTAGTATTCAAATAAATGTTACAATTTTAGTAAGCATTAGATTTAATTATACATTATATTTGACTAATTATGTTCCAATGATAACATTGGGTTGAGTTCCATAAAAATTAAAGTTATGGTGAAAAATGTAATAAGTGATATCCATCATTAGATCGATTATAATTGAAAAGAACGTTAGATCAAGTGTAATGAGATACACCAGATCAATTTATGGTTGGTTTGAGATTGAAATTGATCAATGGTCCAGATTTCTTCTTACACTTCTTAACTTGATTTCTATTATCACACAATCCTTCATTCGATAACATAACACATTCATATTTAACCTCGAGTTTTTCGTAATTTTTTTTATCTTTATAAATACCGTAAAAATCATTTAATTACATGGACAAATAATTGACACAAAAACAGAGTGGAAGAAAATACTCCACAAAACAAAAATATTTGTTTTTTTTCCCTCCAAGTATAAGAATGTGTGAGATTTAACCAATTAATAAGGCTTTTATCAAAGTTGGGGGCCCTTTTATTTTGGTATTGGGGTCCCAATAGCAAACATTTGGTAAAAAAAAACAATTTTTAGTCAATTATGAAGCATCTTGTTGGGGGCCTTTGACCCCTACGAGCCTAATGCGCATCCGTCCCTGATACATCATACCAGCGTTGTTCATGCATGGTACATCCTGTTAGATCTAGGTTGTCTGACTCTGTTTAAAAAGTGGGCTTGGACGACCATTTAAAAAATATGATGGGTTTGGGATCATCCAAATTAATGAGTGGGTTCCGACGATGGAAAAAAATTCCAGACATGTCCGTCTAGCCTGTTATATAATCATAATCAATTAATTTTTTTATATAACTAATGTTTTAGTAAAAGAATCTAAAAGTGGTTTTGAGTTGGACTCCCTCTATTGAGCACCAACCACCTCTTAAACATGTGTGTGTATATATATATATATGTGTGTGTGTGTGTGTGTGTGTACTCTATGTGATGTCACATAGTACGTCTTGAATCTCAATCTTGAAATATTAGATGGTTAACTATTTTATCGAAGTTGATAATTTTTTGAGAAGAAAAGTGTATACTTCATAATGTATGAAAATACTATTTTCTTACGCTATGTACATTAATATATTTCACGTTTTTTAGTTAGAAAAAACAAGTATTCTAGATAAATTTACACAATCATTTTATATAAGTTTTTTAAACGTATATTTTTAGGCCCGTTAGCCAGTTATTAAACTCGAGCCGTTTATAGGACGGGTAAAAGAAATTTGACAAACGGGCAAATATAAGCGTGTTTTTGCTATTGGAAACGATTACCTCTTGTCATACCATATTGGTTTTGTCTATTAGTTAATTTTTTATAATTTTAGTTGTTTCTTAGAGCATTTATAATAGATTCTTTAAAATGGAAACTTAAAACATAAAATCTCCAAAAAAATATATATATATTCATATCCAACAGCTTCCTTATTTTGGAGATTATAACATAAAATATATTATTAAAATATTCAATATTTTTAATTAAATATTGTTTATCTTTCCTATACATTTAATTTCAAGGATTCTCATTGGTATGAAAAACAAAAAAATAATTTCTCTTTTATAGGTAATCATTTTTTGAGAGTTCTTCAAATTTGGAAATTTTCATTCTGTCTCTCCTACTTTTTTTAATTTTAAATAAGGTTTTGGAAAATCTGTTATTTATACTATATTATAAAACATTTGATAAAAACTCTTAAAAACCATTGTTTATACATGAAGTACTGTATATTGATGCATATTACTTAAAATTTAAGATTACAAGTAAATTATGCACATGTACAATTTATTAAAGCTCCATGTTTGAATTCGTATAACTAACTGCGAATAAACATAATCAAATAGAGGATAAACATCTCACTTTAGAATATAAAAAATTTAAAATATAATTAGAATAATTAATTATTATCTTTATAAGAAAATTCTATTATTAAACAAACATAAATTAGTTCGATATTAAACCTAAATTAAATTATGATAAAAAAAATTGAGTTAGAAAATTACATAAAAAATAAGAATTTTAAATAGTTAATTTGATATCAATATCGTTATATTTTTGTCAAAATTTTATGATATCTTCAAATAATTCAGAAATAAAAACATAATCGCCTTTTCAAAATCATAAAAGACCATACTATAACATCGACTAAGATAAACAATAAAATAAAATATTAAAATCAAGATACATCTCGCTGCATTGCATGAGTACCCTTCTAGTAATAAAAAATCCTCAAAATCTCAATTTTAAATAGATGCTCTTAATCATTAATTAATATTTAATTTTTATTAATATTGCTTACATGTTAAGATTCAAAGGCCGAAAAACAAGGTCATCAACAATGATTGAATACGAATTATGTGTCGTTTTCTCCATTCAAGTGTTATGTTTCTTTGTTTTTCGCTATCTAAAATTCTTCACCTCTAAACAATGATCTTTTCCCCAATTTTGGAGTATTGACTATTATACCCTTCAACTTCTTTTTTTACTATTGAATAGAGATGGAAATTTTATTTGATGGATCAGGTGCCCGACACTAATGGCTAGGATTCCCTGATTTGACGAGTGAAGGGGCGAAAACAGAGATTTATTTTTATATCCGAGGCAGGGTTGGGGCGGGGTCGGGGATGGCATTACTCGCCTCTAATCCGACCCCGATTAAAAATTTATTTTAATTAATATATGTATATAAAGTGTGTCTGTGTATATATGTATGTATGTACATATGTATACATTTATTATTAAATGACAAAATATATTTTAATCTTTAATATTGGTATATTGATGACTTATAATAATTTTAATTTAAAAAAAAATCGTTTTTTACTAACAGGGTATCCAATGGGTTCCCTGAACCCGCCGGGTATTCCTTCCCCCCAAATCCGTCGGGAATTAGTGGGGACGGGGACGAGGGACTTAAACGGGGTCCAAATGGGGGACAAGAGATGCATTCCCACCCAATATCCGGCCTGATTCCATCCCTACTATTAACTTTGAACATTGTAACTCCAACTTTTATAATGTTGGTACAAGATCAAAACCAATATTATCAACCATAATAAAATCGTACCAATTAAATCAATATCTAATAATATTGGTCGATGCACAGTATAATATTTTCTGTACTAATATAAAAAACATTATATCATAACATATTCATTATTGATAGATTGATAATATAAAAAAAAAAAACTGTTAATCACCACAAACCAATCATTCGTAGTTATAAATATCCAGACAAATCTTTATCAATTGCAATTATTTCTAATTCATTATTACCTTTCATTTATATCATGTACATAAATAATAGACCCAGCAAAAAATTATTGGATAATATGAATATTTATTTTTTATTAAATAATAATGCTCATCTTTAATATCTGGTAGATTACTCTAGTCAGTACTCAATAATCACATTATAAAATCTTCAAAAATCCCATTTTTACCCTTCCACACCAACAATTTTTCTACTTGGAAAAGTTAAAAATCCGGACTTATTTATTCTCTAAACCTTTTTAATGGAAAAACCATTAGACTTTATCATTTTGAATGATTAAGTCTTAAAACTATTTTTTAGAATGAAAAACCATTAAACTTTCTTATTTTAAATGATGAAGTTTGTGAACATTTATTTTAAATAAAACCATCGCATTTTTTTAAATTGTTCCCTATATCTTTTTAACTAAAAAAAAGTTACATGTAACCGACTAAGAAAAGTTCAATGATTTTTCTTCCAGGATTTTAATTATTAAAAATGAGAAAATTAAATGTTTTTGTTTTCATTCAAAATAATAGTTCATGACTTAATCATTCAAAATAAAAACATTTCATAGTTTTTCATTCAAGAAGAGTTTAATACAAACACTTGTATAAAAATTTACAAGAAATGAAAAATAAAAGAAAATTAATAATTAATTTTTACTTTTATGTATTAATTTTGTATATTTTATGGATTTATTAATAGAAAATAAAATGGTTAAGAAACAACAACAAAAAAATGTATACAAAAATCCAGGTTCTTGTTCAAGCTAATAAGAACCTCAGAACCTCAGTCCAACAGTGGAGGCTTTAATAAAAAAAAACCCATACAGAACTTCATTGTGGATGCTCTAAACCATTCAAAATGAGAAAATTGACGAGGTGTTTTTGGACTTTTCACTTTCTACTTCTACAATTCAATATAAATTATGTTGTCCAACAAGAACAGCAAATGGTACATATCTAAATGCAAGTAACAACCATTCCATAGAGATATATGTACATCACCAATCTTTTCTTCTTAAAGAAGGAAACCAAGAACCAACCCAAGACCAAGACCACGACCACGACCACCGGTGCGGTCATATGGCTTTCGGTTGAGTTTGTTCGAAGTCGAAAAGCTCAAACATGAGCCGTCGAACATCCGGTTTGCCGTAGATGGTGTATGAAAGTCCATGAATGGCTTGTTGGACAGCGGTAGTGGCTGGGTTCCTGAGCCTGCGGTTGTGCTCATAAGAATCTTGAACTTCTTCACTGTAAATAATGAACCGGTGGAGGTGCTTTTCCCTCAGATACTTGCCACAAAACTTGTTCAAAAGAAGGCGCCGGTGTTTCTCCTGCAACCATCTTCCCGGAGCATCTATATGCTTTATCAGCAGCCTCTCCGCCATTACAAGATCCTGCAAAACGTTTTCCTCCATCTTTATCATCTAACATTTCCAACGGTCCACAACCAACAAACGAGTTTATTTAACCATCAAGGTGCATTTGGTACAATGGATAGGACATAATAGGGATTATTGTTCCACCCCCACCTCCTTGAACAAGGTGAAACATACCTATATTTTACCAATATAACCTCAAAATAAAACCTAATCCTCTTCTAAAACATCAAATATACGACCCTTTTTACATTTTATTCATTTTTTAAATTTTATTTATCGTATTTTATGCTTTTTAGATTTTCACTTTACTGTTATCAAAATATTATCTTTATATCTTGTCTACATTTTGATTAATTTATGTAATTTATTAAATATTAATAATAAAAAATAATATAGAAAAGGTATAAAATAAAAATTGGAAACTACATAAACTTTTTAATTTTGATGTCATTTAATCTAATTGACAGAAAACTTTCTAATGTTGTAATTTGTTAAAAAAAATATTTATTTAATTATAATTTAAAAAATTATATAAGTAATCAAAATAAGGTTAATTGGTCATTTTATCTGTTTTGTCATGTTCATTTCTGTCTTAGGAAACAATTAGCAACTGTTATGTCCTCTTCTATCTTGTCTGAATACCAAATGCACCCACGGCATCCATTTTAGAACAAATATTTTATCTTAAAGCTTAAAGTTACTTACTTGGATCTTTTGGCCAACATATTCTAGTCGTTCAAAGCAAAACCGGGGATGCTCAAACTTGTGCTTTGATGGATGCAAGAAAGCAAGCTGCATCTCAAATAAGTATCCCGAATTACGTATATTAAGAAACATCTAATGCAAAGAAACAAGTACGTAATGATAATTTCACCTGTAATCCGAGGCCAAGCTCAATGTTTCTGGCATTAGTAATTTCCGGGATTCTATCATTAACTTGTAAAGGATATCCTAATGTATTCATAACTTGAGGTCTAGAGTCATAATCCCATATATTTCCCCGGAACCGATGCATCCCTGGTGGTACACAAGCACGGAAAAGCCTTGGGTGAGCAAAAAGAGCATCTTCAGGAGGCTGTAAAACGTAAATACAGATTAATATAAGTTGACAACTCCAATTCGAATTCACGAAAACAAGACTTACGGCTCCCTCCGTTAAGAAAGAAGATATGGTCTGACTTTTTAGGTCAAACCAAGCACACTTTCTGAATTCAGATATGTTATGGGTTTGGATTTTATTACACATCCAACACCAACAGTATACAAATTTGCAGTATTTTGTAATAAAGCTTACAGTATCTTGTTATTTTGTAAATTTAAAGAAATCATATACACTTTTGAAGGTGCAACTCAGCTCATTTGACCAAGTCAAAGGGTACATCTTTTTCAATAAAAACAAGAATTCAGAGACAATTCTGAGAAGAAGGCATGCTTTGACTTTTGAAGCCAAACCAGGTACTTTACAAATTCAGATATGATGCAGGGTTGTATTTTATTATAAGGCCAACACCAACATCAATTTGTAGCATTTGTTATATGGTAAACTGCTCTTAGATTGTAATTGTTATTTTTGATGAAATCATATCCTGATTTGAAGGTCAAAATCAGTCCAATTATCAGTCCATTTGACCAAAAATGTTAAAGCATGTATCTTTTCTTTTAACAAAGGGAGTAAATTATATCAATTAACTGAAGATGGTATAGCTTAATAGAGCTTGCCTTATAAGCAGCAACTTCTTGCCAGCTGAGTTTTTTTCCTTCGAGTTCCGCAGAGACATAGTCAACATCTTCAAGTTGTCTTCTTAACTTCGGCTGGCATTCTTCATCTTCAGGGTCCATTCCGAATACTTCAAAAAGTACACGGTAAACCTCCGGCATCCCAAAACACAGATATATTGCTCCAAACAAAGCCCAGACTACGGACCTGCCAATAAAATTAATCTTTTTCTTAGAAGCAGTTTTAGTACTAGTTTGCTGCATAGTAAGAATGAAAAGCATAATGGGATGTTATAATCTCTTCTCCTCCCAAAAATAAATGGGCAAAATGCAACAAAGTTTACCTTAATTCCTATTTAGTAAACAAAGAATTTTTTTCTCAATCAATGTAACAACGTTTCAAATTTACCTATTTTTCCCATTTTGACTGGTAATCTGTCGATCTTGTAACATTTGATGACGTGAGTATCAAGTTTATAGTCCATTTTGCCGTAACCCCTTCGTAAACGGGTAACCATGTCATTAAATGTTACAAGTTCAACATGTTATCAGTAAAAATCGATCTGGAACAGAAAAAATTGAAACTTTATTACATCAATTGAGAAAAAAAAATTACTTGTTACATAAACAGGAAATAAATCAAACTTTGTTGTGTTTTTTGATGATTTTTTTTTGCCCAAAATAAATGCAACGTTTTACTAAGCATATAGTTTGATGGAAATGTTTGACTGCTCCTTCGAATGTGCTAAAATAAGATATCTGGTGTACCAAAAATCCAATAGGGCTATCGGCATTTTGTAATGATTTGTCAAAATTATGGGTCTTAGGATGTCCGAATAACAGAAAAAGGAAATTATAAAAACTATTTTGGGATTGAAGGAGTATATGGAACTGAAAGATGAGATGGTAATTTTGAGAAAAAAATCAGTGGTGGCAGAAACAAGAACTTCATATTTTCATCCTGATATCTTGGTAAATATATAAATTTGTTATTACTATGAAGTCCTGAAGCACAAGGAGATTTTACTCGCTGGTGTCAATTAGGCAATATTATTTTGAATCGTTAGTTTATACAGAAAAGACAACTCGCATCCGCATGGTGCAGGTCAAGCCACTGAGATGGTCACAGCTAGTCCATTGGTGACTAGACCAGTCAATTCAGATTAGTTTGACAAGGATGTCAAGGGTCATGGCCCATGGGATAATAATTTGATGAAGAACAGAAAATAGAGTAATAAAGGCAGTAGATGAAATGGAGAAGGAATAGGGAATTTGTATTAATGGAGAAATAAGAACCAATGATTC